CCTGCCCGGGTTCAAAGCTCGGCTTACAAGATGTTTGACCTGAGGCCAGCTCCCCCCAAATGAGGGAAACAGTCCTTGCCTCAGTGAATTGTTAGGAGAATTAAGAGAACTCGGTGAAGCATTTCCAGGGCATCAGAGTGTTAGCTGTAATCATTGTTATGCTCATCCCAGGGATTGTGAATAATCAGTAAACACTATAAATTAAATGTCCTAGAAATATAAGAGCTGGCACAGGGCGCTGCTCCAGAGAGCTGTCAACGGAGGGCAAGGATGGCCCGATCCCCACCCGACTCTGGCTGGTGGGAGGCCCCAGCACCCCCGTCTGTGGGTGGGGACTGCTCGGGTCGCCTCGGCCTTCACTGTGTTGCTTTGGTCTCTCGCAGACATTGACGAGTGTGTGACCGGCATACACAACTGCTCCATCAATGAGACGTGCTTCAACATCCAGGGCAGCTTCCGCTGTCTGGCCTTCGAGTGTCCGGAGAATTACCGTCGCTCCGCGGACACGTAAGTCCCTCAGCCGTCAGTTGTCTGTCTGTGTCGGCCTTCCTGGGGGTCCGCCTCCCAGCCTGGGCAGGTGGTTAATGAGTGTGCCCCCCGCAGGGGTCTCGGGAAACTCAGGACCCCAGATTCTCAGGCCCCTGAATGCCAGGGAGACTGGTCACAGATACCAAGGTCTCCCAGGAGCTGGAGGTCGGCGGGCCTGCTCTCCCAGCAGCCTGTGCGTGGAGCCAGGCCGAACCCAGCCCCCTTGTTTCCCAGTGGGAAACTTGGTCTGGGGACAGCTCTCTGGGCCTCAGTTTGCTCATTTGTAAGACACAAATGTCAGAATGCTCTAAATCACGTGAAGGTGGCGATGACGCCAGGTGGGCCCACGTAACAGGTTGAGGCGTCAGTATTAGGAGAACCCGTCTGAAAGCCGGACTGTGTTCAGCCCAGTGGCTGTGGGAATCGTGTGGAAGATTCCGTGGCCATATGCCATGTGAGCCCACCATCCCAGGCCCCTGGGCTGCCTGCAGGATGTCAGGGATCCCCCTTCCTCAGGGAGCAGTGAGGTCTCCGGGTCCACCGCACACCATCCTGGTTTTATTTCGTCTCGGTTAGCACCACGGTCAGTTGTTTCAGGAAAAGCTCCCCGGTGGGAGACAATCTCAGGAATGTGCATACGTGAGCTGTCCTCCAGCCCCTGGACATGGCTCCAAGCCAGCACCCAGCCAGGCTGACTGTGCGCTTGGCCCCTTGACCTTGAGCCTGCTCCTCCCGCCGGAGGATCAGTCCGCCAGGCCCCAGCGTCCACTTGCTCAGCCCCAGGGCCCTGACTCCTGGTTCTGGCCCGGCCTCCAGCGTGTTGAAACCCTGAGCAGGTTCCAGCCAGACTCAGACAGCCCAGGCCCTTGGCAGCCTCGCCCTCCCCCGGGGCTGCTCTGTGCCCCCGCCGTGTTTTGTCTACTTGGAACCCAGCACCCGCTTCCTTCCTGGGCTGGTCAGGAGAGCGCTCCAGCACTGGGCTTGCCAGCGCGCAGCCTTCCAAAGAGGCTGTTACGCAATGGCCAGCGGGCGGTGGCCCTCCTCTGGTTAAGGAAGCCCGTGTCCTTCATGGAGGCTGTGCTGCCCTTTGTCATTGTAAGTCCCCCTCCCACAGCTCCGTCCACCTCTGCTGTTTGCCGCCGGCTTCTAACACACAAACCCGGAGATAAAAGGCAGGAGCCTGCCCTGGTGCGTTCTTCACGCCTCCTGAGCTGCGGCTGGGCGGGTTGGCATTGCCCGCGGAGGTTGTGTGAAATCTG